TCCCCACTTCACATAGGTTCTTCCCTATGCTCCTTACCAGTTAGTTTACTTTTTGCTAAGTTTATACTATTTTCCCACCGGCATAACCTCTCCATTTTACTCTGCTTATCAAAATCCAATTAACTCTTTAAAGCCCAGTGAAATATGTCTTCTTCTATAAAACCTTAATATTTCCAGCTAACACTTAACCTGCTACCTTTATTCTGGACTCTTATCAGTCCACTTCTTAGCAATCTTGTTACACAAATATATCTTATTTTTCATATATTAATCTCTCCTGATTTACTAGTGCTTTTACATTAAAATACATTCATTCTTTCCCATTTAAAAGTTTTTAAAATTCTTTTTTTATCTTTCTGAACTTGCCACAGATTCTAGGTATTCCTATTCTTTTCTCCCTCCTCACCATCAGGTTCCTTAAACAAGCAGTTTATACTCAGAGTCCTTTCTTCCTCACTTGTTATTCTCTCTTCAACTCCCTGTTATCTGGCTTTTGTTCCAAAAACTGTTTACATCAAGCTCACACATCAAGACCTCCACACAGCCAAATTCTATGAACTCTGTAAGAAATGTCTTGTTTGGGACCTTCTGGCAATACTACCTCACTTGTTCTTTGGAGAGCTTCTCTGTCTCACTCCTGAGATCTGATATGACTATAAAATGTGGGTTCACCCCTGGGATGGGCATCGGGCTGACCAACAAGACTGCACAAGGAGGAAAACTGGCTGAGGTTGAGCTAGCCCCATAGACCCATGTGATCCTAGAAGCTGCTTTCTCTGGTCTTCCCAAGGCTTCATTATTTGACTTTCCTTCCACTTCTGTGCGCTTACCCAGTATCTATCCATAAATCCCCCTTTTCTGCTTAAGTTAGCCAAAGGCAATTTCTGTTGCTCACAACCAAACAGAAATTTATCCTGCAACTGAAGTAGAGGTAGAAGTGGTACCTCTCATGGTTACACTACAAATTTCTTCTCCCTGTTCCCTTCACTATGGATGTCTGCTGTTCAAGAAATTATAGTAGCTAAGGGGAGAATGTTTTTGCCAAGGGACCCAATAATGGCTTCATTAATTTGGAGGGAAGACTGTCTGAGGCTCCTCACGCAGCCAGCTAACAGACAAAAGGGAAGTCACAAGGAGCAGGGAACTGAGTGAAGCTGGGGGTACCTCTTTTTACTAACACTAGCAGCGAAGTTACCACACTACTGCCACATTACACAGACAAAGTCTGTGAGGGCTCAGATCTGTCAGGAATAAAAGTTTGCAAACCACATGTGTCTGACCCCGAAGTCCATGCTCTTTAACATAACACTTTTCCACCACAACAATCTACTTGCAGCTTCTTAATCAAGAAAACCCCTCTCTCATTTCCATGCCTTTGTACCTGTCACTCCACAAAGTCTTAAGAGGAAATACACTCTATATTCTTATTGGGTATCCCCAGTAGATTATAAACTTCTAAATGGTAGAAACCAAAGCTTCCACATTTTTATCCTCAATAATTAGTACTCAGTATGGGGATGATAAATGTCTGTTGAAAGAATATCTGGTCTTTCTCTTAATTTTCCATGGTATTCATCACTGCAACATCAATTTTGAGTACTTATTTTAAATTAGGTAATGAATATTGTGTTCAGTCCCTTATTTGATATGATGTTCCCCAATCCTCCCAATAAGTCTAAAAACTTCTTAAGAGCTGAGTCCACACCATTTACTACTTTTGTATTCTCTTTAATAGCTAAGAGTATTGGGCACATGGTAAACACTCAATAAATACTTCATGAACTGAATTAAAAACACAGTATTAGCACATTAATAGGAACAACTTATCATCTCCTACTGATCTAATTAAAAGATCTGGCCTTCTGAAGTAGTGCAATTGTACCCATATGGAAAACTTAATGAGAAAAAGAAAAATTATCTAATTGGACAGTTAATAGCTTTTCTCTTAGCGTTACACAAATATTTTATGGATAACAAGAGTCAACTTCCAGAGTTGAGAGTAAAAGACTCAAGGTATATATCTCCATGCATATTGGAAGGAAGATTACATGTTTAAGGGATCCATCATAACCACAATTACTTAAATTCCACTAATCCTTAACAAATCCATAATAGTAGTATAGGACATAATATTTAATGGTGAAATCAATTAATGCCAAATCAACCTATGCTAAAGATGCATATGGTTATCTTCACATAATATATAACACAACAGTCATTTACTCATTTAACAAACATTTTTCTGAATGCCTACTAATAATTAGTGCTATGTTAGGTCCCAAAAGTACAAAGATGAGAGAACACAGTTGCTATGTTGGTGGGGTTCTATCTCCACCATGTTGCAATGGTATGCAAGAATACAGCGTGAATTGTACCTCCTGGAGCCCTCAATGTGGATGCCTCAGGGGTAGCAGGCCCATAGAGAAGGTGGATAAACACATACTCAGGGGCAATGCGATTAGTGTTAACAGAGAAATAAGTACAAGTTGTTATTGGGACCACAGAAGAGAAAATAATCAACTTACTGAAGAAGTAAGGAAAAGACATGGAAGAAACTGACATACATGAATTCTGATGTGAGTTAAGGTGTAAGGAAGCTACCAACACAGAAACATCCAGAATGGAATCAAACCTGAAACTACAGCTGCAAGCAGTGTTGGGGAGGGTTCAAAGCAAATCAATCTGACTCAAAGCAAACTTTTGTAGAAGAGCAAACTCCTTGCCATCAAGTTTAAGAATGAAACACAAGCACAAAAGAAGTTAAAACTACCAGATGATATAAGCACAAAGGGAATCTCTTAATATGTGGATGAAAAGTTCAAAGGGAGCCAATCACTAAAGAGTTAGAGCTGTCCAGGAAAACCTTCACTAAAGTAGAGTTAGAACTACGGTCATTGGGAGAGGGAGCACAGCGGGGCATCCATATGCTGAGAAAGACCAACATCACTAATAGAAGCCAGGATCTGAACTGCTGATGTGTGGGACCACGAGGAGGCTCATGTTGGGAAGCAGTGGGGGGAAAGCTGGACATGTGAGTGCAGGCCTGATTTAGAAGAGCCTAGAACACAAGTTTATTAGATTGGACATTTTTTAGACACATAGTAGTTCTCAACCCTTATTGCTAAATGGAAACACCTGACGAGCTTTAAAGAATACACCTATGGCTGAGGTTTACCCCATATCAAAAGTAAGAGAATCTCTGACACAAGAAGCCTGGGTATTAAAATGTAAAAACACATAAAATGATTTTACTATGCAGTCCAGACTGAGAACCACTGGGTCAGAGGATAGAAAGGAAAGGCATGACAGATATGGTTAAGACCCAAGTGTGGAAGCTTCCCTGGTGGTCCAGGGGTTAAGAATCCACCTGCCAATGCAGGGAACATAGGTTTGATCTCTGGTCCGGGAACACCCCACATGCCTCGGAGGAACTAAGCCAATGCACCACAGCTATGGAAGTTCATGCACCCTAGAGCCCATGCTCTGCAACAAGACACCGTAGTGAGAAGCCCAGGCACCTCAGCAAAGAGTGGCCCCCCACTAGCCACAACTAGAGAAAGTCTGTGAGCAATGACAACCCACCACAGCTAAAAAATAAAATAAATAAATAAATCTTAAAGAAAAAGACCCAAGTTTGATTCAGTCCCTATTTATAAGCTACAGTTTCACGCTGACTGCCTGTTGAAGCTTATCTCCTGAGTTAAACATTGTTTTCTTAGAGCTTCTTTTCCCTTGTTAACAATGCTAAACTCTGAAAACAGGAAAATAGCCCATCAATTTCTCTTACCTGACTATTTCACTGACTGCACAATCTGCAACTTTAGAATTTTATTTCCACGATGTCCCACAGACAACTAATTTAGAAAATAATTATTCCAGGGACTTCCTTGGTGGTCCATTGGTTGACTCCACACATCCAATGCAAGGGGCATGGGTCTGACCCCAGGTTGGGGTTGAGGAACTAGGATTCCACATACCAGCAAAGCATTAAAAAAAATAACAATCTTAAGTAATTATTTCAATCCTATGCTGCCCTTAAATCGCTACAATGGGGTGCTTTTATACTAAGGAATGTTCTAGGCTGCAGGCTTGTCTGGATTTTATCAAACTTTTAAATATATAGAGAATGTAATACCTGTGTATTAAAAAACTCATACTGCTTAGATTAGAGCAAAATATGAGAATAAGTTCTTCTTTACCCTGTTCCTGAGACCAGGTAATTTCTTGGTTTCAGAAGTGCAATGATTACAAGGTATTTTGCTTATTTTGTAACAAATACTTTTAAAGTACTTCACAAAAAAGGAGAAGCAATAAATGTACCCCATATAGCTACTCTGTACTATATTAAATATGTGTGCTGTGTAGGAGGAAAAAGTCATCAAGGTGATGAGGATGTGTGCCAGCCTGTTGATCCTTCAAAAAGCAGGTTTGCTTTTTTGCTTGCTTGTTTTTTTTTAAGAAAAAGCAAAGGTACAAATATGCTTCAGAATCCATGTTACTCACAGAAATGTTTATTCAAGAAATCTGTACTTTGTTAATAAATAAGCAACTGTCTTTTTTATGCAAACTTAAGTTAACCACAATTGTCTAGTGTTGTGTGGTGTTACGTCAATGTATCTACTACTAGCAGTAAAAATTGCATGAGAACCTAAGTTTAAAGTCTATAGCTGGGATCATATAGGTTCACGTTTAGGTTTATAGTTAATAAATCCGAAGGATCATACTCCAATGTAACAGGGAGGCGGGAGGGTGGGGGGAAGGGGGCCGTGAGTTTGGGAGAACCGTTCCAATTCAGAACGGAAAGAAAAGCTTCTAAAAAGAAGACCTGCAAACCTAACTCTACTACATAGAAGTGAGAGTTAAAAAGCAAATCACGTGAGTCTGACCACTGGGTCCGAAGGAAATTCGGAAGGTAAGGAAAGAAGAGGGAATGAAGGAGACAGAAAAAGGTGAAGGAGGCGGGCAAAGGACATCCGGTGTGAACCTGGATGCCCAGTTCTTTAAGCACCCGGGGCAGCGTGGAGCCCTTCTCGCCCCGCGCGCATCTGGGGGCCGGGGCGCAGCGCGAGCCCCCCACGGGCCTGGCACCAGAGGGCGCGGGGCGCCGAGAGGTCGGGCAGAAGAGGGGTGCGCGCGCCTTCCGTGCTCGCAGCCCCCAGGTTCCGCAAGCAGGGGTCCCCAGGAAGAAGACACAGTCTGCGCAGCCCTAGCCTCCGGGAGCTGGGAAGGGGTGGGTGGAGCAGAGCCCGGAGCCGCCCCCCGGAGCCGCCCCCGCAGCCCCGGCCCCCGCCCCGCGCCCCGGCTGTCAGCGGCCCCCTCCCTCAGTCACTCACCCGCTGGCTGCGTGGTCTCGGCCGCGGTGGCGGCGGCAGCGGCGACCCCAGCCTGGGTCATGATCCCAAGCGGGTTCCGCAGGGGTGTCCGACCGCCCGGGCCAATCTCTCCGTCTGCGGCCGCCTCCTGCTTCTCTGGGGCTGGGGGAGCGCGGGCCCAGGCCCTCCTCTCCCCCCGCCCCCGCCGCCTCTTCTAGCGGCCACCGCCGCCACTACGAACCCGAGCCCTCAAGGCCGGAGACCCGGCGGCAGCGCGGCCTCAACTTTCCCAGCCCCCCTCCCCCCGCCCCTCCCCGGCCCTCCCCACCCCTCCCGCGGCAGCCGCTGGGCTAGTGAACAGCCTACCCTGGGTGCACCGCGGTCCCGCCCCTACCACTGAGCTCACCAATCCTAACCCGGAGAGGCGCAGTAGTAGCCAGTCAGAGCCCGAGACGCCGTTGCGCTATCTAGGGGGCGGGAGAAGGTGGAGGGAAACCAAAGAGTGAACGGGCCTCGGGCAGCCCAATGAGGAGGGCCGGGGGTGGGTGCGGAGGTGTGCAAGTTGAGTTGAAGGAACAGGAAATATTCTTAAAGGTAGAGTGATGGGCAGGACCGAAAACCAGTAGATGAATGGGAAAGAGGTGGGCCTGGTTCCTTAAAGGGGACGCCTTGAGAACCTGGCAAAAAAGATGTTTGAAGAAACTTCTTTTGTATCCTGTTCTCTGTTCTGCTTTACACTTCTTTTTTAAAGAGTTTGAAAGTGGAAAAACTGGAAAGGAAGAGGACACGGAAGGCTTTCAAGAACGATTAGAGAGATCCTCTTATCCTAGAGGGCAGGAAGGCGATATGAAGCTCTGTAGTAGAAGGTGAGGAAGAATAAAAAGGAATGCAGACGTCTCCGGCTGCCATTTCACTGGAAGACCATTGCCGACCTGACGCTGCTCGAATTTGTTGGCTGCGATCATCTATCATTTTTCATTTGCTCCAAAGGAGGATTCCTGCGAACTGGAGATGACCATGTTAAGAAAGGTCCTGGGGGCTCCTAATTAGAGAAAGCGAGTCTGCCACTCGGGGGATGGATTTGGAACTTCAGGCTTGGGTTCCTAGATACCTAGATCTGGAAGGTACAGAGCCTCGGGTGATAGCATGGAGACCAGGGCCCGCTAATTCCAAGATGGGTTTGGGGCCCTGCAACTGTGGTCACATCTCCCTTTTCCTGGTTTCACTTCCTATTTCATAACCCCTCCTCTTCTGAAACAGGTGTCCTCCACCTAGTGGTGTTGAAAGATTTTCAAGCGCTTCCACTGCCAGGTTTGGAAATGTCCCAGATCTTAGACGTCTGGGGACTTGACCAGGTAACTTCCAGAAGATGCACACGGGAAATGGCATGGTGGGAATTACTTGAGCCTTGTGTTGGGAAAAGGTGTAAAGTTAAATAGTAACCGCACGTCATGTTTGTACAGCAGTTTAAAAGCTATGATGAAACGAATACAAGGCTTTTTGTCTTATTTCTAAACTATGGCACTGTGAACAGTCTGGTAATTTTCTTTAACTTTTGCATCTCAGCATATGAATTTCTAGTTAGTCTCTGAATACATTCAGCACACCCAAATCAAAGCTGCAGATAAGAACTACCCTAGGATTCAGAGGCTAATAGTAATGCTAATAGAGCACCGCCATGAAATTGTATAGCATTAGTATGTCCAGCTGTAGGAAATAATTTCCATTGTAATCAGAATACAATGTATTCTGTTTAAAAAATTATTCTGGTTAATAAATATAATATCTAGGGTATGTATGATTTTCTAAGCAAGTACAATGCGTCGAGTCTAAAGTAAAATAACAAATAGTTTTGATTGTTCAGAAAACAGACGGTAAGAGTTTCTTTGGATCACCATTGGAATACACATGAAAAAATTTCTGGGACAATGTAGAAGTGTTAAATAAGAGAAATTTCTATTTGATAAAATGTGGGGAGGGGGATAAATTTGGAATTTGAGATTAACAGATACAAACTGCTACATATAAAATAAACAATGAGGACCTACTGTATACAACAGGGAGCTATATTCAATATCTTGTAATAACCTTTAGTGGAAAAGAACTGGAATCACTTTGCTATACATCTGAAACATTGTAAATTAGCTATGCTTCAAAAAAATTAAAATTAAAAGTAACACAACAAAATGTTCTAAATGTTTGCTTTTTAATTTAATCCTCATTCCAGACTGAAGCCCAAATCCCAATCATAGATCTTTTTATTGACTTTGCCAATTCAACATTGGTTTATTGCTCTACATATGAGAGGATGACATCAAATAATGGCACCAGTCCTATTTCAGGCTCGCTGCCATGTGCTTACATTGCCATTTTTTATATATTTATTTATTTTTTAAGTCGCTCAGTCGTGTCCCACTCTTTGGGACCCCATGGACTATACAGTCCATGGAATTCTCTAGGCCAGAATACTGGAGTGGGTAGCCCTTCCCTTCTCCAGGGGATCTTCCCATCCCAGGTCCCCCGCTGGGTCAAACCCAGGTCTCCCGCATTTCAGGCGATTCTTTACTAGCTGAGCCACAAGGGAAGCCCCCTACACTGATAATAAAATACGGTGGTCAAGTGAAACTGATCCCTTTGCCTCCAGGACAAGTCCATTTTTTACAGGGCTCAAGTAAATTTGATTTTCACCCACATACTTCTAAAACTCTTCTTAAAGCTCCTTGCTCGCATCCCCAGTTTATTTTCCTGACATCCTTTTTTTTTTTTTTTCCTGTTCCTGGGGATGAATGACTAGAGAGGGGCGCCGACATCCCCAGGGAGGGGGGCGTCTCTGAGTTCTGCTTTACTGAACCCTTCCCTGCTCCCCGTGCAGGGGACTCCGCAAACTGTGCCTACTTATGGGGGACCGTTGAGTGCAGAGCCTGATGGGGCAAGAGAACGGGGTGGGAGTAGGGGGCTTGCGTGCATCCCTCTTCTCTCCAACCTCTGGGCGCCCTGTATCCCAGGCTGCCCGACCCTTGGGGACCTCCAGCTGCGCCCCGCCCCGCTCCAGATGCGCGGCGGGCGGCGGGAGAGGCTCCAAGCTGGCATTTTCTTTTAAGAAGCTTTCAGAAATGAATGGCAACGGTATATGCAAACCGTCCATTGTTTTCCAAAATGGTCGTAGTATTTCTCATTGTCAACAGAAATATAGGCGGATTCCAGGTACTCCTCCTCATCGCCAACCCTTGATATAGTCAGTCTTTTTCATTGTAGCCCACATACTGAGTGTGTCTCTCACGATTTTAATTTGCACTTCTCTTATTACTACTGGTGTTGAGCACATGTTCTATGTTTATTGGACACATGCACATCATCTTTGGTAAAGTGTTCAATTCTTTAGCCCATTTTGAAAGCAGGATGCAAGTGGCTCAGACAGTAAAGAGTCCACCAACAATTTAGGAGACACCGGAGACTCAGGTTTGATTCCTGGGTGGGGAAGATCTGGAGAAGGGAATGGCAACCCACTCCAGTATTCTTGCCTGAAGAATTCCATCCATTGGGTCACAAAGAATCGGACACGACTGAGCCTCTAACACTAACACTGTCTTATTATTGAGTTGTAAAATGTTTTTTATGTTCTGGATAAACGTTCTTTCTCAGATAAATGTTGTGCAGATATTTTCACCTAGTCTGTATCTTGAAAGCAACAAACAAAATTGCTTTCTTGAGGTATGATTGATCTTCAATAAACTGAACGTTTAAAATGTACAACGTGACAGATTTTGACATTTGCAAGCAGCTGTGAAACCATCTCCACAATCAAAACTGAACATATATGTCCTGCCCTGTTTCCTTTATCTCCCTTTATTCACTTGCCCTCATCCTGTTCTCCAGGCAACCACTGATCTACTGTCACTATATATTCTTTTCATTTTCTAGAATTTTATATAAATGGAATCTTTCTATTTATACTCCATTTTTTCTGTGTCTTCTTTCATTCAGTATGGGTAGGGGGGGATTAATCCACTTTGTTGTGTGTATCCATTAACTTTTGTTGCTAAGCAGTATTCCATTATATGGATATGTCATGTATATTCATGTTGGTGGACAGTTGGATTGTGTGCAGTTTTTGACTATTACAAATAAAGATGCTAGAACAGTTGTGGACAAATCTTCGTATGGACATTTGCTTTCATTTTCCTTGGGTAATAACTGGGTGAATATCCAATGGAATGGCCAAGTTAGATGCTGCTGCTGCTAAGTCGCTTCAGTCGCGTCCGACTCTTAGCGACCCAACGGACTGCAGCCCACCAAGCTCCTCCATCCATGAGATTTTCCAGGCAAGAGTACTGGAGTGGGCTGCCATTGCCTTAGATGCTAAGTGTACCTTAAAAATAAAAACCTGCCAAATAATTTCCCAAAGCTGTACTAATTTATATTCTACTAGTACAGTTTGGGGATCTGAAATGTACCATATCAACACTTAGTAAATCTTTTAAAATTTTAATTGTGACCTTAATTTGCATTTCCATAATAACTAATGATATTGAGCATTTTTCATGTACTTATTAACCATTTGTATATCTTTTGTGAAGCTGTTTTAATCTTTTGCCCATTTTTATTGGGTTGTTATTGAGTTTTAAGTTCTGGATTCTGGACACCTATCTTTTATCACATATGTGATATGCAATATATTCTCCCAGTTTTGGGTTGTCTTTTCATTCTTTTAACTGTGTTTTTCAAATAGTTGTTTTTAAAGTCAAGTCTATCAATTATGTCTGAGTCATGCTTATGGGGTCATATCTAAGAAGTCTTTGACTAACACAAGTTCACACAGATTTTTCTATTTTTCTTCTAGTAGTTTTACAGTTTCATGTGTTATATTTAGACCACAGCACACTTTAATTGTTGTATATTCAGAAGTATGATCAAAAATCCTTTTGTATGGAGAACATGGATCATATTTTTGTATTAAAGAATCCAATGTTCCAAACACCAATTGTAAAGACCATCCTTCCTCCACTTAGGTGTCTTTGAATCTTGGGCAAAAATCAAGTGACCACATATGTGTGGTTGTTAGCTGAACTCTCTTCTGTTCCA